GAATGAAAATGCAATGTTCACATAATAGAGTGTTTCTAGGTAACACATTTTTAACTGGCATATTTCTTCATGTTTTCACTTTTTCCTTAAACATGTATTAACCTATTCTATGCTGTAGAAACCATGTTATTATTGATGTTTTTAATAATGGGTAGGACAGAACATTATGATAAAAAGATTCCACAATTAGCCCTAGCTGGTTTGGCTCAGTGGGTATAGTGTCAACCTGTGGACCCAAGGGTCCCAGGTTTGATTCTGGTCAAGGACAGGTACCTTGGTTACAAGCTCCTCACTGGCCAGGGGCCTGGCCAGCGCTCTGCAGGAGGCAACTGATCAATGTGTTTCTCTCACATCAATGTTTCTGTCTTTCCCTCTCTCTTCCACTCCCTCTAAAAATCAATGAGAAAATATCCTCAGGTGAGGATTAAAAAAAAATCAACAATTGGATAATGGAGGCGTATATGTAAAGAATTAATCACCAAATGATAAAAAAGAACTATGGTAGGTACAACACACCCCCAATGATATCCATACAATAATCCCCAGAAATTGTGAATATATATGGTCATGGCAAGGAGGAATTAACATAACAGATGGATTTAAGATTTCTAATTAGCTCACCTTAAAATCCTTAGTTATCCAGGCAGTCCCAATGTAATCATGTGTGTCCTTTATAAGTGATAGAGGCAAAAGAGCCTGAATGAGAGCAGGAGGTGGAGGATAGAAACAGGGTCAGAGTGATATGAAGTGAGAAAGACACAATCTACCATTGCTGGCTTTGAAGATGGAAGAGCCAAGGAATTGCACAACCATTCAGAGTTGGTAAAGGCAAAAACATGGATTGTCCCTTACAGCTACTATAAAGGAATACAGTCCTGCTGACCCCTTCATTTTAGCCTAGCAAGATCCATTTCGGACTCCTGACCTCCAGACCTGTAAGATGATATATTTGCATTGTACAAAGTTTGTAGCACAGCAGCAATAAAAACTAATACAGGAACCATATGCACTTGCTAGACAAGAGGATAAGAGGTGGGGCCTGAATCCCCATTATATTTATTAAGCTCTTGTCCTTGTGTGTACTATATTTAGCACAAAATAAAATTTTCAAAGAAGTAGGAGTCATGGTCTCTGCTCTTGAGGAAAAAAGTTTACAAACTAGTTGGATTTTCTAATGGGAAAACACAACCATATGGCAGAGATGTTAGAAGCACACAATTGTGCCAACAGGATAATCAACCATAATTTACATGGCCAGCCATCCCAGAGAACTGGCAAGCGAGGAGCATCACTGGAGCAGCTGTTGCCATGGACCCAAATCTTATGATAGTAACTGAAATAGAAACAAAAACAAACAAGCAAATAGAAACGCTCAGAGTTCTTGAACTTGTTAAATTGAGAGGCAGCATAGTGCAATCACAGGGAGTACAGAGCTACCTGGATACTAATCTCAACTCTACCCCACAGTAGGCTTTTGACTTGGGGCAAGTTACCTAAGCATCATCCTTTTCCTTATCTCTAAAATGAAGTTGGGCCCTTCAAGCCATTCTCTGAGAACTGGCTGACATCACTTCCAAAATAAGCTAAATATTCTTTTTTAAATGTATATAAAAGATATAATCAAGGACAATTTTAGTACAGGAGAAAATGTATGTGTATGATTTACTTAACAATACTCAAATGTATTTATTACTACCTACTTTATGCCAGGTTCTTTTACACTTTTACAGATACATATATTAACACCTCCATATATATATACATATATATATATGTATATATGTATATATATGTATATATGTATATAATATATACACACATACAAGCATATATCTAGAGAATATGTACATTTATAGAGAATATATATATGAAGAAAATATATTTAGTAAAGCACCATAAGAGTTTTATAACTAAGCTAGTGTATTTTGGAGATTCTGAAACATCATTGAAAGAATAAAAGAAATTTTGACATGGCCACAGTATTAGTCATGGTTCCCAGAGAAACAGTATGTAAATAAACAGAGAGAGGTAAGGAATTATCTCAAGTGATTATGGAGACTGAGAAGTCCTATGATTTTCAACCTGCAAGCTGGACAGCCAGGAAAGGTGATGGTGTATTTCCTGGGGAGCCCAACAGCCAAAAGAGCTAATTGGGTATGCTCCAATAGGAAAGCATGCAGCCTCAAGACCCAGTAAGAGCTGATGTTTTAGTTTGAGTTCAAACACAGGAAGAGACCCATGTCCCAACTCAAGGCAATCAGGAAGAAAAATTCTCTACTACCTGGGAGTCCATTATTGACCAAAAGCTATTAATTTCATGGAACTCTCTAGTGGTCTCAGGAATACCCAGGAGATAACTACCCATTTCACAATATTCCTCTTCCAAATTATCCATTTTGATTAAAAAC